TTACTTTCGATGTTTTTATAGTAAACCGATTGTATTAATGTGAGCTTAATAAATATAAAAGATGGTCACTAACCTGCCGGTAAGACTTTGTGATCTTGAGTATCATTGCTGTCTGCTGTTAATATTATAGACTTATCTTGATACTTTGATCTAAAATAAAAGTTTTACTTAAAATACAGGAAACAAACATTTTGCTTTCTGGAAATTATTACTTTAGCTTGACAAGTTCATTTTTGAATATTATCTGGTACTTTATTTTAGTAATTAATTGTTTCAACGTTGTATCGTCTAAGCCATCAGTCATTATTAACGAACCATCAATTTCGTTGTCTACAAATATCGACAAAACGATTACTTTTAAGAACAAAAGCAAGCTGTCTAAAGAGTGTGATGTAAAACTACACTTGCTAGAAATACAATTTTTATTTATAAACTATACACAGTCTTTAACGATACGCTTAAGTATTATATAAAAGATTGCACAAGACTTACCTTTAAAATTTTCGATAAATTCGCTTAAATCAACAGATTCAAGCCACTCGGCTACTTGTTCTACCGACCAAGATTTAGGTGCAGTATGCATAGTATCATCTATTTTTAGAAAAAAAGAATAGAAAAGATATATATCGTTCTGTTGCTTGACAAAATAGTGCAAATTGCTGATACCTTGGATACTTTGTGTTGGTAATCCAGTCTTTGACGTCTTGAGTTCCGTAGTCAACTTCGTAACTGGCCTAATATCCTACGAATATAAAAAAAATTCTGTATATTATGCTTCCTTGGTAAGATCGTTCTCATGTACTATTGGTAATAGATCATGAAATTTGTCTGTGTCTGTTTTAGTTTTTGTTATGATCGGAGCTTTCACATTTGAGTTTGATAAAGATTGAGAATTATTAATAGTTCCTTGATTACTTCCGGTGTAATCCCTAAAAAAAAAGAAACTTATGTAAACGAATATTTTTGTTTAGTAATTTTGTAGACTAGGAACCGTATTGTACTTATGTAAAACAATATAATGTTTTTTCGTCTTCCGTTCATACTGTAATGGTAGACGTAAGTGAGTTTGCATACTTAGTTGTGGCTCATTCTTCACTAGTCTCTATTTACATCAATCTTCATCTGACCACCCACGTCTACATCATCATCATCTTCTTCTCACATCTATACGTACCCTTGCCTTTGAGCATTCTGGCTGTTTTTGATCATTGCAGCATGAGATGCCATTGGTTGAGTTTCGATTATTTGATTTTCGTCGGGAGTTTCCACAGTAGAGTGATCTTCTCTTCTTTTGCCACAGTCACAGCATTTATTATTATTCTTTTGCCAAATACTTTGTTTGAACGTAGCACATGACTCAGCCATTTGCTAAAAAAATGATTTAAGGGTGTGGGTGTTGGTATCGATACATATGTTAATATAGTCACACCCTCACCCACACTCTAAAACTTATTTTTACTTGCATCTCTTGTTTGATAAAAGTTTTTAGTTTTTTCTTTTCAATATAATGATTGTAACTATGGATGAAATCACTGAAGAAAAGTGGTAAGAGGAACAACTGGCTGATTTATCGTGTCAACGACGACTTAATATATAACAGTGCACACAATAAAGAGGCGAATAAATATATTTAATGTTAGTAAACACTAGAGTGTCGCAATTAAATGTATATGCAAAAGACAGAAAAATGTAAAGGTAGGCGACCACTTGCCATTTGTTAGTCAGAAAGATAAGAACTCTTAATCGGTATCTACATGTTTTTATTATTAGAAACAGCTAGTTTGTATATGTAAAAACATCGAAGAAGAAAGAGTTGCTAAAAGGTGGTAGATCAACAGAATATATGAGAAAAAACATACGTGACTCACAAGTAGACATCAAAGAGCAAAACTATACCTGTTAGATCTTATATTTGTTGATATATAATGATGTTTATTGATATAACTTGAATCAATGGAGTTTTATATAACTGATCTAATATAAACACTCGCACATAGAAAACCTGCACATATTTATATGAAATGTTATGGAAAGATTAAAAAGGAATATTCTAAAAGGATTTTATGATACACTTGAAAAACTCATCATTTATCACATATACAAAAGAAGGGAAGAAACCAAGAGAATACTCTGGAGGTAAAACGAAAGATAAGATACATAGAACACATATACTTGAAGAAAGAAAGAAAACTAACAAACACATTGGGATAAAATCTTGAGGGTCTTGGTATAGCGTGAGTGTGGATGGATGCGGAGAAAGAGAAGATATACATCCACACCCATTTTGAAGATGAGGGTGTGGATATACATTGCAACCACATCCATCCGCATCCACACCCTTCTAAAAGAAAATAATATATTAAATAAATAGTAATCAGAAGGGTGTGAGCGAGGTTAAGAGAAAAGATACTCACACCCGCATCCTCTTCATTACTGCTGAGGTATAAACATAAAACTTCTTCGCATGTGACTAGTGCATATGACTATTTATTTTAATTCTAAATGATAATTAAAACGCAACAATCAACATGAAAAATATTCTATGTTATACGATTGATATGCGGAATGTTCGAATTTGCATTGGATTTAAAACGATGTTTGTATCAACCAATGAATGTTGATCTATAGAAATAAAAAGATATCATACTCCGAAAACAATCTTTTCATGTGGATAACTTACTCGTGGAAATATTCGTTTGAAATAATAGTTCATCATTATCAGTTAACCAATGAAGTCTATTCATTTGAGATAATTCTTAATTAGCATCTAATGTTAATTCTAGTACTTTATCAATTATTCCAATTGATTTAAATATTGATTGTAAATTAATTTTAGTTGGATATGAATATTTTTCATCTTCATTTAATTCGAAATAATGTTCAAGACGAATAAGATATTGTTTTTCATTCAATTGATCTAATGTTAATAAATGAATATTTGAAGGTAATATATCGCTTAATGCAGACCATGTTTGACGATATAAATTTGAATAATTCATATAAGATGAATTAATTAATGCAAATGTTACAAGTGGAGACATGAATAATTCTTGTGAATGAATACGATGATAAAGAGCACTTGTTTGAGGTGAATCAATATTAAGAAAATGTTTTCCACGAACAACAAGACCTTGACCAAATGCAGATTCATTTAATGCTTCACCAACACCCAAATTATCATCATAAAGTAAACGTCGATGTATCATTAATTCAATTGAACCATCAATAAGACTTGCACCACCTTCCGAACGATCTAAAAACAAAAAATTAAATTTAAAATTCTATATGATTAATATTTTATTCTACCAGTAAGAATAGTAAATTGTCGATTTGTTTCATTAATCCATATACGGGAATTAACTGGATAATAATTTCCACTAACTGGTTCCGTAATTGTATAATTATATGTTGGTCGATAATTTCTTATTCGTTGAAGAACTTCTCGACCATTTGCATCTGTATAATATTTTGATTGACTTTTAATATCTGTATCATATCGAAGAATAATTTCTTTTCCAATATTATCATCAATTGCAATAGGACCTACTGTCCATTCAATTTCAATATCTTCTCCTTCATCATAAAGATTAATTTCTTGACTAATCCATTCATTAAAAATAATAATTGCTGTTTGGAACAAGTTCACTTTTAATACATTTTCTAAACAACAATACTAATTGAAATAAAAATACAATGAACGTTTTGTAGATATTGGTTTTGCATCTTCTGTTACTGGTCGAAAGATATAAGCACCAGATGCTTGAAAATCAAATTGAGAATTATTACCAGAATAACCCTATAAGATAGACAATGATATACAACTCAACTTGATTGAGAAATGTAATATTAATATTTTTTTGAAGATTTATAATACGTTTTAGATTTCCTTGTTCATCAATTTCAATTCGAAGATTCTGTAAAGAAATCAAATAAAATATTTCATTTATTATTTTCTCTTACTTGATTTCGTAAAATACATATTTCATTTCTAGTTATTTCGAATTTTTCTTCTTCTTCTCCTTCATTCGCTACAAAACAAAATCTCAAATTGAAAAGAAATAAAATTAAAATCTAATTACCTTGAAAGAAATATGTATTAAAACCCAATGCTGGTAAATTATATTTAAAAATCATTTGATACGTTGCATTACTCATTCGACCAGGTATTGTTTTCGTTGAATTTGAAACTGGAATTAACTCAAAACGAGTTTGCCCACTTGAATCACGAACTGTATAAGATCTCGTAACAGGGACACGTAAATAACCGACAACTGGATGAATTATTGGATTCCAAAGTATTACTGTGAACTATTCAATCAAAACTAAATGACTATCGAATAAATATTTCTTTCTTGTTTTACTTGTTTGGCGTTTTCAATTGGTAAACATTCACTTATATTTGTTAATTGACAAAGAAATTGTTGAATTTCTGCTGTTGAGGATTGATTATCTTTTGTTAATAGTTTTGGATAAGCTGTATTAATTACATTCTAAAATAATGTCAGATAAGAATCAATTTGTAATAAAAATATACGCACAAGTGCTGCATCAATTCCAATGGATAATCGTTGTGCATAATCATTTGCAACATGTTGTTTTTCTGTTCCACTAACTGCATCATGATGTTGAGCAATCGCCATTGCTTCACCTTTATGTATAATATTAAAATAATACATGAATTAGAAGAAATTGATTTTTTACTTAAACTGAAGATTTGATTTCGTAATTGACTATTAGGAAATGTATTTAATTGTCGTATGACTTGTAAAATATTATTTGAATAACGTTCAAAACGTTTTAAAGCTGGTCGTGATGTAAAATATCCTGTCCAAAATCCATGTGGATGATGTGCATGTGGAAAAAAATCATCAGTTTTTGTTATCCAACTACGATTAACTTTATTTAATGCATATAAATAACAGGATGGAGTCGAATAGAAAACATTTACATTACTACCATTTATTTGCTTTAGTGAAATTCAATAAATTTTCATTTCGTTAAAATAGAAATGAAATATTTGATTAATTTATCTAAATTTTTATAATTTGCCAAAGTATTTTGATATTGAAAATTACCACCAAATGTCATTATAATATGATTAGTTGCATATTCCATTGATTCATTCTGAGCTGTTTGAATAAATGTTTGAACACGTTCTGGTACATTATAATCTGGTAAATTTACATCATCCTATAATAAATAGACAGATATGATATAGAACATATGAAATCTATTGTATAACTATGATCGGATCATCTGGAGCAATAAAATCAAACGAGAATGTTGCTGGAGTTGAATATCTTCGAGGTAAAATACCAGTAAATAACCAACTTTGACGATCTAAATTAGCACTTGCTTTCCAAATCATTTCCATTGTTTTTGTTGTATTACGTTTTTGAAGATCTTGATAATCACAGCACGACCAAAGAATAAACCATCAAAACCCATCTGAGGATAATTTGTATACACTTTTTTTTATATAAAAAGAATTGATTGACTTGTACAAGAAGAGAAGCTTGTTCACGTGAATGACCAAATTGATCATTTAGAAATTCCAGACCTAAACTATGTTGATCAATGATTGAATTATAATGTGTTGTTCCTTCATCATTCATACACCAACCACCAGAAATAAATTCAAGACGACCTGAATTAACAAATTCTTTAACTTTATCACGAATTTTATCTGTTTGTTGAAGCCACCAACGATAAAAGAAAGCCATTTCAACATAGATAAATCGTCGATGAGGATTTTCATCTAATGCAAGAACAAGATGAACATTGAGTTTTACTGCATCACCCAAATTACATGTCTAATAAGATTTATTCGATAAAATCACAATAGAATATTCAAACTCACTTACATCATAACCACATTTATTCAATGATTTTACTGAATTTGTCAAAGTGATTATATTAGAAATTAATAGAGATAGGCAACAAATAAAAAACTTCATATATTTTATATCGTAACTTTATTATTCACACACAAAAAATGTCTCGTTTACATGTGACTATCTTCTTTGGTTTTATAATCAATCATAGATAAGGAAAGTTAAAATAAAGAAGATATTCTAATATAAGAACAAATCTTGTAATTAAACGATAGAATAGAAGAGCTGATGTGTGTATGTTAGAATTCTTTTTTAAAATATATTATTAAAGGTATTAGTTAATGTTCTAACTGATCAGATGATCAATATTTGTTCACTTGTTTATCGAATCACTGTTAGATATAGTATCAGCATCGTTAGAATTGACTAGGGTGTGGGTGTGAAAGTAGATATACCTTAGTACACCCACACCCACCCACACCCTCAAGATTGAACAGGTTTCACAAAAAATTGACACAAAATCAATGCATTATACATAGTTGGTCTTGTTTTTATTTAGATGAAATGAATATGAAAACACTTTTTATGATGTAATGTCATTCTTAAGAAATGAAGAAAATAAATCTAAACTTTTGATCGACACACAGGGCACTGGTCGCTTCCAACTAACCATGTTCCAATACATGATGAGTGAAAATAATGACTGCAGTTTGGTAAACCATTCACTATTGCACCTTTCACATAAGTATCGATACAGATAACACATGAATAGGTCTCCTTGTTAACAAATTCTTCTTGAATTGTCCAGGTAGGTAAGTTTCCTGTGGTTGTTGAAGATAAAGAAACAGTAGCAGTAGTTGTAGCAGCACTAGTTGAACTTGAAGCGCCGTTGGCGTTCAATCTTGCCAAAGGATTCAATACTCCATTCCTACGCATTTGTTGAATTCGATCTTGTCGTTCTTTTTGATGTTTAACAAATGTACCTGAGGAAAAGAGATAAATAGAAAAAACATATTTTCTTGTGTGATTCGTGCCAAAGATAGACTGATCGAGTCCTTTTTAACTGTGTAAGAATTGACATGTCGTTTCAATAAAGATTAAGTGTTTTCTATTTCGATTTTCTCTTATATCATAATAAAGACTCACTACTCGACTTGACTTGAGAATTTTCTAAAAACTCGATTGGAGAGAGTCCTGACTCACTCATTTCTGACTTTAACGACCACTTTTTCAACTCACCCTCGAAATTATGCCATGCCATCATAATACCTTCATCAGTGGGTAAACCATTTGTACCGAACACTCGTATTTCAACAACAAAGTCTGTATTAATTGGTCGTTTACCATCACTTCGACGATTACGTACACTCACTCTCAATTTTGAATTTGGTACTTCCCATTCATACATATGTTCACATGTAGTACTCTCAAAATCAGACCGTGAAATAAATTTAAATAAACCAACTTCCTTAGCTGGTTGTGTTGTGCTATCACTTCCATGATAATTAGCAATATTTCTTCCAGCAAGTTTGATTTCATCGTTTTTTTGTGAAATTTCAAAAAATTGTTCAGCTTTCAGAATGAGTGTACGTTTTTCACCGGATTGGATAACCTTTTTTAATTCTATATGCACATCATTATCAACATAAGTTAAATTTATATGTGGAGCATGAGCACCTGCACCACCAGAAAGTCGTATTCTGTTGCTATCATGTCGTCTTCTGTTGTAAGAAAATCGGTGAGACATAAATTTCGGCATAATTTTTGTTTAAATATTAAACTTCGTATGATATTTCACTTGAAATAATGTTTCAGTTTTGAGACTGTGATGAAATGTGTTTGCTAGATTTGTCTCGCCTTTTATATTCACCTCTTCTTGGGAAAAAACCCAACAAAAGTTAGTCACAACACGTCTGACTGCGTCTTTTTTTTTGTTCCTTTCCTTCCATGCAAATATTTTTCTTTTTATAAATAAAACAAGTTAACAAGATTACTTTTTTCATTTTTATTTTTGCAGGCAAAAAGAAAAATAAATTATTAACAGAACATAAGAAGGAAAAATAAATAAAAAAATAATTGAGGAGTGGGAAAATGCACGGGTAGTTATTTAAGGGTACTATTTATTTGCTAAGTAAAATAATCGAAATGCTAAGTAGACTTTCACTACCTAAAATTTATATTTGCTCAGTAAATAATTTAAATCTAAGTAGAATAATTAGACGCTAAGTAAATATAAAGCTTCTCAGTAAAAAAAAACAATTGCTAAGTTAATAAATTAAAATCATAATAAAAAACTACATTTGGTCAGTAAAAATTTTAATTACTAAGTAATTTATTATAAAGACAAAGTAATTCTAAAATGTCAAATCAAAGTTTCTTTACTTCTATGATGACGTCTATATTTTTCCACACTCACACCCAAGATGCACTTTAAGCTACAAACAGGGTCATCAAAGATGAACACACATTTAGAGAACGACAACCACTTTCAAGATTTTTTACTATTGCAAATGACATTGTACATAATTAGCTTAAATCTCGTAATCCAAATCAATCAGATCCAGTCGTGTTTTCAGCAGAACCAACGATTACACTTAAGAAATGGATCGATGCATATCATTTTGCAAAATCGTCAAAGTCAGTTTTGCAACAACCATCAAAAAAAAAAGGTTTTACTGATTATTATATACCATCTGGAAACGTAGAGAATGTTACAATAAATGAAATTCGTAAATATAATAGGAAGAAATGGACATCATTTGATCAATTTAAAGATATTCAATTTTCAATATGGAAGACAAGTTTACCAAACAATGTACTAGAATGGAAAAATGAGATTTGTATTTGTCCAAGTTTCTTCAAAGAATATATTTGCAAACATATAGTTGGCATGGCAATTAGGGTGTGGGTGTGGGTATGAACTAAACACCTCTCCATATTAAAAGCCTTCGAGAGCTTCTAAACTATCGAGCGCTTAATGTTTTTGGAGAAGACCTCTGTTAGGTTCTAACATTTTCGAAAATTTCAGGTACAAACATTTTGTCTAAATTATTAAAGGATTTTAAGAGTTTTCAAAGAGTTATTCGAAAGATTTCGAGATTTTAATACTGACTAATGAAAATTTAACAGATTTTTACTTAAAAAAATCCTAGAATTAATAAAATTTGACTATGAAAATACCAGTAAACATTTTTAAAAGATTCTTCAAAAATTCTTAAAATAAGGGAGATTTCTAACGCTTTTCAAGTCAACTCCTTCAGGACGAGTTTTTGTTAAGATAAAACATGTTTTATTCTTTTTGTTTCTATTCTTCGTTTCTTCATCATATTCCTTATATTTGTAGTCTCATTCTGCTGCAAAACTAAACACATGAAGAATGATACTGTAGTAGTACTGAGACTAAATTAGATATTGAAATTATATATGTGGTTTTTCTATGATTCTATTCAAATATTTTAGACACTGATACTCATATTATTTTTTATTAAATAAGAAAAAAAATTAGAAAAAAAGCAATAAGTTATAATTGAATATTTAAGCAGCACTGTCAGATAATGTATACTGAATTGTCGCAGCTGTATCCGAGGACCAATCTCGTGGTGTTGAATCTTCTCCACTTGTTTCTAATGATAATGATATGTTTATTGTCATCCCTAATTGTAGAGTTGGTCGACCGGTATCTTTGTTCAATAAGAATCCTTCAAATGGTGCTCGCATTTCAAATTCATTACCTTTTTCACTTCGAGAATAACTAATTATACCATTAAATGGTCCTGGTGCTTTGTCTTGAGTAAAACATATGTAATTGTTACTATATGGACGAGGTAGTCTATATGGTCCATCCAAACATCGTTTACTTTCACTTGAAGTTGGTTTATGTTTCCAATAAATGTATTCCGTGTAAGACTCATAAATTGCTGGACGAAATATAAATTGATTCCTTTTATTTTCATGTTTTAAATAATTTACTTCCGTGTTGTTATTAGCGGCATGGTCGAGATAAACATCTTGATTAAATGAACCATTAAAAAATTCTACTTCAAAATTTCCATCAAATCCTGGTGCAGTTGGATGATAAGCACCTCCATGTAACCAATAACCTGTTGTATTATCATTATCAATATCAACTGTAGCTATTACATAATATCTTCCAGCTGACGATTGTGATGGATTGTTTTTATCAAATTCATTTGCTCCAACAGAAGTCTTACCAATAACTCCACCATCAACTACACGATAATAGGCATATAAAGATGTATCATCGTGAGCTATTTTAAATTCAACTATATTCACATTTGGATTATAAACATGTGTTGGTATAGGATCTGGTTGAAAAGTATCTGCATCATGACAATCAGGAAATTTTAGGGAAGGAAACCATGGACTTCGATCATAAACTGTACCATCGATATTATCTTCTGGATCAGTATAAGATGGAACATTTTTCCAATCATCAAAATTACCATCAATTTTAATATTACGATTTATTGGATCAGATTTTACCAGATGAATTATTAGATAAATAAAGAATATCTGCTTCAAAATACTCATAATTATTCCCAGCTGCTTGAAGAATTAAATCTAAAAATATTGAAAAGTGTGAGTATATATTCATATAGTGCTAATAAAGAAAAACATATAAAAAGAAGTGAAGTACGAGCACTTTTTATAGCTATACTGTCCTTTGCTATACTTATCTTGTCGACTCACAATCTCTTTTGTATGCTTAGTAAGGTGACTTTCAAGGCCATGTCCTGTATAACAAACACTATAATGATAAAAATGAAAAGATTCGGTACTTTATATATCTGTTTCTGCTTACTCATAGCCATTTTGACCTATCCTTTTTTTTCTTTTCTTCTTCATGACTTATCTTTGCATTATTTTTCTATTGCAAAGCTAAACATGTAAATAATACGAACAAACTATTCATAGGATGATGCGAGAAGTATGAGTTATGAATGTAAAAACACATCTTCATTCAGAACCATCTTGAGGGTGTGGGTGTAATAAAAAAAATACTCACACCCACATCCTCAATAATTTTCATAAAATAAAAACTATATCCTTCAATGATAAATGATACAAAAGAAAAATTATTGATGTAATTTTTCATTATGGTAAACAAAGATCAAGAGATTTCTCGAATCATTTTCTTTTAAATGAATCGAATGATTTCATTTTATATGGCGACATTTATCTAACTATATAGGATTACGCATATGTGATTACATGAAAATACATATTTTTTAATAAATAGTTATACATTGATGAACAAGAATAAAGCTATTGAAGTTTTTTTAAATATTTGTCTCGTCTATTAAGATAATCGAGTTTTCAAGTCGTTTTTTTAATGATGATTTATAATAAAATTTTTGTACGACAGGAATAACTTTCGTTTTTTTGATATGTTTTCTTGATTGAAGTCTTTTACATATTGGATCAATACCAAAATAATATTTTAATATATCCATTGTAATAATAAATAATGCAGTACTTATCAAAAAAATAATTGCTATATATCCAAAAGATTTCGAAACTCTTTCAAGAGTAATGATCTTTCCTGATTTCATTTCACAATATCGACCAGAAAAGTATTCACCAATACAAAGACATGTATAACTCGATGATAATGATTGACAAACACCTTGATTATAACATGTTATATTTTTACAATAATTAATTTTTATTTCACAATGTACACCTTGCCATCCTTCATTACAACTACAAGTAAATGTTGTATTTGATGATTGATAACATATACCTAAAATGATAAACAAGAAATTCATTTTTTTCTCTAAATAGTTGAATATACCATTATATGAACAAGTACGTAATTGACAAATTCGATAATCATATTGACATTCTGTCCCATTAAAACCAGATAGACAATTGCAATTATAACCCCGAATGATAGTATTATCATTCAGACAAGTACTATTATTTTGACAAGGTTGGCTTTTTATTTTAATTTTTCAGCACAATATCATATAAAATGAGATTTATTTTTTTAGAAATTATTTTTTAAAAACTTACTTTTTGATAAAATAATTAAAATTTGATGAAGAAATGATTGTGACTCTTGTTTAATAGAAATATTTGGGGATTTATTTAAATCTTCTGCAATTTTTCTTAATTGATTTGTTAAATAATTTAAATTAAATTCGTTTTCTTTAATTTGTTTATTCAAATAATTAAATTTCTTTTCAATAACATTAAAGAATGTTTGTGAATCATTAAAGAGAATTTCTCTACATTCTTGTGCTTTTTGTTGAATTATTTCTATTTATTATCTTTTCCATTGATTAATTCGTTTTATTAATGAATGATTTTGTGGAGTTTATTTTTATTCAGTAATGCTTTGTTTAAGATCATTATATTCATCGGTGATATGATGTAATTCTTCATTTGATACTTGTTTATGTTTCGCTAAATCCATAAAACAAAATTCTTTTGAACACCCTTTACAAGAATATGTAGTTTTTTCTTCATTACATATGAAGCATACAGTTCTATTATTTGCCATTGCCATGTCTTTGAATATAGATTTATAGAAAAAATGAATAATCTACGTATCTAATTTTATAAATATAAACTTAATAGTTTAATGACAATAAAAATGTTGTTCAGTAGTCGAAGAAATCTAAGAAGAACTTTCTTTTTATGACAAAATCCCGCTGATAAAACTGATGTGATATCTAAGATAGTAGAGCGAAAATTGTAAATTGATTTTATTTTAATTTCGACTAAAAATTTAAACTATTTTTGTGATATTGTTTCAATGAAGGTGGGGATGTTGGTGGATTTTCATTGCTCCGCACTCACACTCATGAATGTTTATTAGAATTGACTTAATCTTATTGATACCTACTTAGAACAGAAATATGAATTCGAAAACTCAGAATCAGTTGTAATAGTACCATTATCAGTATATCTTCTATATATTCAACATTTTCTTTTCATTCTTGAAATTTTTTATATCGTTATTGCGAGTATTATGGTTAGGGGAAGCGAGCCAAACATGTCAGCCAAAGAAATATGGCTCAATTCATATAGAAAAAACTAGCTGATCATACTGCAGTTCTTATTTTGCCATCATCGAACTTACTTTCTGCCCTCCTTCCATCAACACAATAATCTATCAAGGTCTACATGGGCGTAGTATGTGTACCTTATCAAGATGTATGTGAATATGGTAGGATCATAAGAAGGAGTAAACATATACGCGAAAAAAAAGTGGCTTACTTGACATAGAAAAATGAACCAACCAATTTCGAGTCGTTAATTTCTTATAAGTTGAAATAATCTACATGAACATCCCAGCTATCGTAATGTGATGAATCAAACGAATTATATTTCAAATAGAACTCTTTTTTGTCCAGCTTTTAATAACAATATTCAAATGTCTATGACACAAAGAGTTTAATCAATTTAAAAAATAAGTCTTATTTCCTATGACACCTCATTGGTATCTCCGTTCTATATCCTTGAGGATTTGACAAAGATCCTACAATGATTCCTTGTGTTTTTGGTTGTAGGAAGTGAGTAAAACATGCAGGCATTTTCTGCGAACACAACTTAATCTTATTCCTACATTCTACCTCCTGAAAAGAACTGTTTTTTGTTTGTGTTGTTGCACTTTTTTCCCCAGAAAAAACTTGTCCATCATCGTAATTATATTCTCCTTATTGAAAGAATCTTTTTTTCACTCATTTCTGTATTCTCTTTCCAGAAAAAAACTTGCCTATTATCATTCCTGCATTCTCACTGGCAGACGTATTTTTCTTGCTCTCATTCCTATACTCTCCTGCTTGAAAGAAAACATATTTCTTTTCCCTTCAGTGTTTTACGCAAAAAAAACTTGTCTATCATCGTTCTTACATTCTCAATGTCGGAAGGAATATTGTTTGCTCTCATTGTTACAGTTTCTTTTTCAGAGAAAATTATTGTCACTCTCGTGCAAAGAGAAGGAATTTATTTCATAACTTAGTAGTAAGTAATAAGTGTGCTGTTATATTTTTGTCTGTCGGTGGATAGATGTAAAGGCCAAAGATGAATTCGAGTACTTATCGATTCAGTAGAGTTTTCAATTAGGCGTAATCGTAAGGGTAAGCCAAATAGTCTCATCTTCATATATCTTGGCGTTAGTATCAAGGAAATAATCTACTTCACCACATTAAGTAATGTGATCAATAGAAAAATCGAAACACTCGAACAGTTGAATCAATGAGTAATTGAGTAGCATGTAGACGCTCTTAGCCACTATACTATATGGAAAGTAATTTTTCATCTTTCTCTCGCACACGTTATTTTTATCACTCATTAAATCTTGATTATATCTGCTATGAACCAAAGACTTATTCTTTAAAATCTCTCCGACATAGTATTTATTTAGCAAACCCAAGAACTAGCTTAATAGAAAATGCAATAGGGCTTTACCGCACTAACTCTATCAGCTATAATCAATTTCTCTGCAACCGATAAACACCATATTGAGGGTGTGGGTGTGGGTAGAGTAAAATGGGAGAGAGTTTGGTACCCACACCCTCAAGATATTTTAATAGAAATATCTTATTCCATTCAATCTTTCATTTCTTCTGCGAGAGAAACAAGTTTGTTTTTTTGTCAAACTTCATACTACTACGTAACATTCACTCGATCTCGTTTCGACTAAAAAGAAAAAAACATATCTATAGTGTTTTAGATGGGATCTGAAGAGTCATGGAAAAAATTCATTGGCGATGCCATCGCAGATAACAAAATCGTCTGTCGTACTTGTAGAATGTATAATCAGGAAGTACAGATTGTTCCAGGTGATGAGAATAAGAAATGTCGTTGTGGTCGCTTGATCCGATGCCATAGTTTAGCTGGTAGCTCCAAACCACTATATACAAGCAGCAACAGTCCTGAAACAACAAATTCTCAACAGGAGTTTAAGCACGTACATTCTACTACTGTTCCTGTGACTGTATACGGAACATCAAAAATCACTGAATCTATTGGTTGTAAATATATTCGAATTGATCATCAAACACGTGTGAAGCCTATCTATGATTTGCTTGTTAAAGATTGTGGAGATACAAAACCAGCTGTGATTTTAAGTGTTTATGGTGGTGCTAAATATTTCACTATGACTGAAAAACTGGAAAAAGAAATTATACGTGGTATAATTGATGCTGCAGCAATGTCTAGTAAATCATATATATATATCTGTAAATATACAACTTTTTTGTTATTTTAAGATGCTTGGATTCTAACTACTGGTATTAATAATGGTGTATCGAAACTAGTTGGTGAAGGAATATCTCATTATCGTTTATTGAAAGCTGATCCAAATAAAATTGTTTGTATTGGACTAACAAAATGGGGAACAATCAACGGAAGGACACGTTTTGATTTGAAAAATGCAAATAAAGTATCAACAAAAAATGATATTGTTTGTTCAATACATAACTACTTTTATTTGATAGAATGGCTATGAGCTAAATCTATTTTTTCGACGAATTTATGATGATGGTGACGATACCGACGAAACCATCGAAAGGAATCATACACATTGCATTCTGTTTGACGATGGTAAAATAGGTGATTATCTAAATGATGGACAACGAGATGCTTTAGTTAAAGAAGCATGTGAAGATGAAGATCATGAATGTATGTATTATATTGAAATATTATAATTGTTTTGAATGAATAATATTGAAAGGTTGTGGTGTAACAATTATCGTTGAAGGTGGTAAGAATACGATTGAAGTTCTTCAAAATGATATACAAAAAAAACGACCGATTGTATTTATTGAAGTGTGTATATATTATTGAAAAATGAGAATTACACTGTTTTATATGTAGGATAGTGGCCGTTTAGCAGATGTATTTGCTTCGTTAATTAATCAAACAACTGATGCAAAGACTGATCAACAATTGTGAGTTGATTAAATAGTTCATGAATTTATTAATATTTTTACTTTTAGTATTCCATCAGATGAAGTTGTGAGAAAAGCTCTGACTGATTTCTTTCCTAGTCTCGATGAAGATGATATCACCGGAATAACGACAAGAATACAAGAGATATTAGATAAAAAGAATCGTCATTTACTAAATGTTTTCCGTATGGACCGTGATAAAAGTGTAGCAGAAACAATATTTAAAGCTATTTTTAAAAGTATGTATTGAGATCAAATAACATCTAAGATACTTTATGTTTCTTTTAAAGTGAAAAATAAACAAAAAGGTGACGAACAAAATCAAGATCCACAGTATGCAAAGGATGAAGATATTTTATTAGATCTGGCATCACAATGGAACTATTTTGATGGTGCTTTACCAATATTAAAAAAACGACAACACATTACGAGCAATAATGACGCGATTAAAGAGGTAATGCGAGATTTATTAATAGTATGAAATTTACCGTTTGTTTTTTACAATAGAAATATATGACATGTTACAAAAAGTTATTTCGAGAATCATTGATAAAAAATCATCCAGCTTTTGTTGGATATTTTCTTGCTGCTGGTTTTGATCCACTTAAACTTCTTCGTGCTCCACGTGTTGAACACTTTCCTGCTGCTGGTTTTGATCAACTTGAACTCCTTCGTACTCCACATGCTGAACATTTTCTTGCTGCTGGTTTTGATCCATTGAAACTCATTGGTACTCAAAGTGTTGAACAACAACGTCATGAAGAGCTCGAAAAATTATATCAAGATACTTACGATGAAATAACTACGGTATGATCATAAGACTAAACTATAATGCTTACGATAAACATTTTTCTTTTTAAAAAAGAGCAATCGTAGCTATATAAAAGAATTATTTGATCAATCAACTGTGACAACAATAAGAACACTTGATAAAAAGTTAAATAAATTTATTGGTTCATTTTTTGAAGCAATTTATGCAAAAGGAGATAATGAATGTACAAAACGTATTTGTATTGATCTGGAAAATCATTTATGTAGCTGCTGCAGTAGTGCAATAAAATATTGTGCTTCCAATAATAATCAAGTTTCACCACAAGGTATTAAAGATACTCAATCTCAAGATCAAGAAAAGAATACGGAAGAATTACTTGAAAAAAATAAATTATTACGTGATTTATTTTTATGGTCTGTATTCATGGATATGCCTGAAATCGCGAAAATACTGCTCATTCATCAACAATCTCGTATATGTGCTGCTTTAATAGCTTCAGCTATATTTAAACGATATTCGAAATTGTCGTTAACTGTTGATCTCAAAGAAAAATTCAAAAATCAAGCAGATGACTTCGGAAAATATGCAGCCGATTTTATCAATGATTGTTACAAATATAATGAACGATCAGCATGTGAATTACTTCTACGACAAATACCACTCTTTGGCAACATTACATGCATGCAGGTTATCTATTAAAACATTTTCAATATCAATATTCACACATAACTTTAGATTGCTATTTCAAGTGAAAATATCCAGCTAGTTGGAACAGCTTGTTTTGATCAAACACTCACTCAAGTATGGTACAATAAATTATCTATGACAAATAATCAAACATTAACAAGACCGTCACAGGTTGTATCCATAACAACGTTTGGGCTTTTAGCACCATGGATGATTCCGTATCGGGAAAATGAAAATGTACGTACACAAAGATCTTTTTTATATTAATAATTTTATTTCATTTTTAGAGTATGCAAGATATATCGTAAATAAATATTTAAAAGTTTTTTGTCAATTTAATTTCATTTCTTACTTAGATTATCAACAAAAGGCATCAATTATTATACCGATGGAAAAAAAACTGAAAAATATTGGACCCGTTTTCAGTGTTTCCATGGAAGTCCATTCATTAGAATGTGTTATCATTTTGTAAATAAACTTTTAGTAAATCGAGTATATTAATTCTTTCGTGAATCTTTTATTTATTTAGATAAGTTATATTTGGTTTTTACTTGTATTTAGTTATATGATGCTTTATGAGCTTGATAGTCCAGATACATTAGAAATTCCACATTGGACTGAAATCTATGTTATTATTACAGTATCAACTATGTTTTGTGAAGAGATTCGAAAGGTAAAGTTTTAATTGATAAAAAAATTTATTTTATTCTTTAATAAAGCTTTTTCATGAGTATAACTATCGAATGGTTGAACGATGGGGTTCAACCGGATCGACTATATTAACAGTTTTAACAAATATATTTTATATTGCACCATATCTTTTATTTTATCTTGGTCTAATATTTCGATATAGTGGTTACGACGATAAAATCTTCATTACTGGAAGGTTTGTTTATTCATACGAGTAATATACACGATAAATAGTATCATTGTAGAATTATATGGGCATTTGATCTTGAATTATGGTATCTT